GAAAACCTGGGATACTGTTTTGGGGGGCTAAAAGGAGGGAATTTCAATTATTTGTCATAATAATTCATATGGACATGTGACAGGACATCGACCAACACTTCCCATTAACCTTTCCTGCTTAAAAAGTAACATTGCTATTTGACTTTTGAAACAGTATTAAGCAACAGTATTTCCACTTTGACAGAAGCACTGTATCCTTCTTACTGTGAAATAATGTGTGGGTGAGTGACAAGATGGGGTTTGTTATGCAGGGTATCCAGAATTTGGATATTTTCTGAACAAGACTGGACGGCCAATGGTCTATTCTTGCTCCTGGCCGTTCTACCAGATCTACTCGAGGATGAAGGTAAGGGAGACAGGACATGCAAGACACAGTGCAATGGCAAGCTTTCATATTTGACGCTTCTAAAAAACTGGAGTTGCTCTCTTAAAGGGAGAGTGTAACTTTGTAATAAAGGTTGTGTGCTTGCAGATTTGTGTATTCTGCTTTGTGTATATGGAATTGGCTTCTTGTTGATCTTTGTGTAATGCAGTATTTGTTTGTGAGACTCTCACAGTATTCCTTTTTTTTTTGCAGACTAGCATGGTTTAAGTGTTTTTGTATTTGTATATTGTATGTTTTTCATATGTAGAAGTAAGATGTGTCCTTGTAACTTGTAAAGCTAGCACCATTTTTCTTTAGGGTTTAGTTTTCTTTCTTTCATTGTTGCAAACATATAATCACATATCATGTATGTAGTAAATACTTATTATGTGTTTCATATATTAAGTAAATACTAATTAGGTGCCCAGATCATCTTGTATATTCATTTTCATACAGGTCCTTGAAGTGATATATATATATTTTTTATTGTATATACTCTAGTTCCATAAATTTGGATGGTTTGATTTACTTACTGAAGTTATTGGTTGAACCATCCTAGTTTGGCAAGCTTAGGACCAGACTAGAGTAGTGGGTTTTCTGAACAAGTGAAGCATAGCACAAAAGGTTAACTTGTACACTGTCAATGGACTGAAATAGTACAAATAATATGCACACAAGGCTGTCACCATTGTACCACTCTAAAAAGTCAAACCTGAGACATTCCACTATTACCACTAAGTCCATTACTTGCTTGTCTCTTAAGGGGATGGAATGCAAGTAATCTAGTAATATAGCAGTCTCTGACCCTAAGCCATCTGTGGTAGGTGCAGACAGTAGTGGCACCACAACTGGCTAATTACTGCCAGATTGAATTGAAGCTGCCTAACCAGTGAATAGTAGATTTGAAGTCAACCTGTAGACATAGAAATAAATTCATCTTTTATGTTGTCAAAAGACCTTTGCTTTAGGCATATGGAAGGCACCATGTAAAATAAATAACAATGCCAGTTACCAGTTACGAAGTGCCCTAATTTTATGGTGCTACCTTGTTTTTTCTTGAACTCTTGCATAGTAGTTCCCAGCCTGTGGAGTATTCCACACTGAGAAGCTTTGGCAGACCATAATTATTTTTCGTATTTTGCACAAGACAGTTTAACAGTCAATGGAAAAAACAATCTTTATTTCTCATTTACCTGGGTACCATGTGGGTAGATTTATACTATTCAATTAACAACATAACTTGCTATAAGCCTGTCAGATTCACCCCTATGACAATACTAATTACTCTTACTTTTTTTCGTTTAATGAATCTATTGTACTAGTAGCTATATAGCTGAGATGTGCATTTTGCTTGTTCTGATTGGTTACACCTTAGCCCAGTCCAGCCAGAAATGGCATGTAAGTACATACTATGCCCACTGTGAGTTGTTTATTAATTGCCTTTACAGATAGATGGCTACACAAGTACTTAGTCACCAATGAGCCAATTATTAGTACTTCTCCTCACCTGTTTACCCTTTTATTAGATTTTTAAAAATAATTTCGTTTATCTTATATTGCTATTAGTAATGTTAGTAACATTATAATAATTATGTGTACAATAAGAATAACAACGTTGATATTGATAGCATTAAAAAAATCCTAAAAACTCATTAAATTGTGAAATCAGTCATGAATTCTGCTAGTTGACTCAATGTCTAAGCATTTGTGGAACCATGTATATGTGGAAACATTTAACAAAACAAAACTACAGTGAACACTACCTTTTCACAGAAGCATTGCGTTTACCCATTAACACTGGGTTAAAAATTTGGCTAGTGGGCCATTAACGTGGGAGTTTTAGTTCACATCAACAGTTTCCCATTAGCACCCGACACATTTGGTAGTTTACAGGCAACATTAGGCACTGAAAAGCTTAGATTTTAATATAATTTTTAAGAATCATAAAAATGTGAAGATTTACCATTTTATTTCCTAAAAGTTTCCCCATACAAAAACAAGCTGTCCCATGAGCCAACAGTGCAGGAATGGTTGTGATGCAGTGCCACCCACTACTTGGTACACAAATGCCATGGCATATATGTACATGCCATGGAAGTGATTAATTCAGATTATCTGTTTTAAGTGGTGGCATGTCTGATTAGAAAATTTAGTTGACAATATAGACCACTCAGTGGAAAAGGTTAGGAACCACAGCTTTTGCACAGCATATCTATTTGTTACTTTTTATAATAAAATGAGAATCAAAAACTTTCTCCAGGTTTCATATTAAGATTCTTTTTTATAAGTAAGAAAAATAGGCATTGGTTTTGAGATTAAAGTATTTATTCCTCTCCATGCATGTTACCCATGAATAAGATTCATTGGTAACTGAAAGATACTGTAGTCATTGCTTTATTTGGATATATTACCACTGCTTTCTTGCATGTTTACAAGACAAAACTAAGAATGTGAACCCAGACTCTTTAAGTTTGTGGCCTAGTGTGTGTGTGGCTTGGATAATGGTTTCTGTCTTTGTATCACAGATGTATGTTCAACTTTTCAGATTTTATGGTACTAACATGAATAATTACATACTAAAATAAACCTGAATCCATAGATACTGGAATCAGTGTAGACTTAATCTGTGTGACTTTCAGGTTTATCATGATATTTAAGCATGAGATTAGTATTTAATTTAAAATTCACATAGTTCTAAAGATTGTAACAATTTCAGCCAAACTACAGTGCTATCATTAACACCTGCAATCTATGGAGGAACTTTGATGATATCCAAGATTCCTGGGAGTCTGTTCAGAGGATCATTGACTACTACGGTGACAACCAAGATGAGATCGTGCCAAATGCAGGACCTGGACACTGGAATGATCCTGACATGGTATGAGGGCTTGGAAATTAGTACCTGGAATGGCTTAATTTCAATTTCCTTTGTCTGGCTCTTTCTCGCCTCTCCCCTCCCTTCCCTTCTTCCCTCCTGGAGAAACAATATTGGTCACAGTTAAGATACAACTACATCTTTTAAGATGCATTATAAGTAATATAAATTATGTAATTATTTACAGTTGATAATTGGCAACTTTGGGCTCAGCTATGAGCAGTCTAAATCTCAGATGGCAATGTGGGCCATCTTTGCTGCTCCATTGCTCATGTCAGTAGACTTGAGGACAATCAGACCAGAGTACAAGGCCATTCTGCAGAATCAAGCTGTAATTGCTGTTAATCAGGATCCTCTTGGTATTCAAGGGAAGAGAATATACAAGGTACGTAGAAGGAGAAATTTGGGTTTGTTAGGAAAAATATAAGAATGTGGTTAAATATCTCTGTCAACATTTTCTTGGTTGTTTCAAAATCTGTTTCAGTTTATACATTAGGGTGAGTTATATAATTTTAGAATTATATTTTTTTCTTTAGTATTCTGACTTAAGAATGTAAATGTTTTGAATGGTCTTACAAGAGGACAGGGTTTCAAGCATGATGTTGAAGACATAAAGATGTTTAACTCATCTTTCCAGGACAAGGGCATTGAGATTTGGGCTCGTCCAATTTCCCCAATCTCTCAGGGTCACTATTCCTATGCTATTGCTTTTCTGAATAGACGAACTGATGGAACACCTTCAGAGGTAGAGTTACAATAATTGTTTTTGACTTGATAGTTTTTATCAATATATTTTTTAACTAATAGTAAGACTAGTATTGGCTGATAATAATAAATGTTAATTATATGATGTAAGTGAGATACTATTGCTTACTAAAGTAAACTTACATTCATTTGATTGATACTTCTTTTTTATTAACACGGCAAACTTTTACATTAATATTGTCTTGCAGGTTTCTGTGACTCTGCGTGAGTTAGGTCTCGCCTTCCCTGGAGGATATGCGATAACAGACCTGTTTGATGGTGTCCAGTATGGTACAGTTCTACCAGACAAGCGATTCAAGGTAGATGTGAATCCCTCTGGAGTTGTGCTGGTTAGATGTGAAGTTGTCAAGACTACTGGATTTGGCTCAGATGTTAGAGCTCCAGTCAATCCTGCTCAGCCACAGAGTGCTTTCAGGAACCCTTTTAACAACCAGCTGTTTAATCCATTTGGATAACAATATTGTGTTGTTTAGGTTGTTTTGAGGTTGTTAGTACACAAAACTCATGTGAAGGTCATTCCAGTATCTACTCCATATCCAGTATTTTTCAATTTTGCTTTTATTACTATTATTTTTTTCTTTTCTTTTCTCTCTCTCTCTCTTTCCATAAATTAATACCTTATTTATAGTTGCATTTTCTCTGAAGTTTAAAATGGTGTTCAAAGAACAATTTTGCATTTTTAAGTTCTTAGCTCTAAAGCCCCAGATATATTTGTGAATGTTAGTGATTCTTTACAAATGCAACATGGATCTCATATCTTGCAAAGAAAATGATACCATATCTTACATATAATAATTATGCTTTTATTACAAAGGCTAGAGTTGAGCACCAAATACGCTTTCATTTATGGTTCAGCATGTATTAACACAATGATTTGTGGAACCTACTTAATACCACAAGCTTGGAATCACACAGTATATCTTATACAGAACTAATTTCTTGTGGGTTTAGTTACTTCATTATTTATATATATTTACAAATATTTAGGTTTCTTTCTTTTTTTTACAAAGACGAACAAATGTGGTTATTATAACTGTTGTATTTTTGTCTGTTGGTAGTCCTTGTATGATAGTTTATGGTGTGATTCATGGTGATCCATATCTTCTAAATAGAAGCTACAAATTCTGAGATACACAAAGTGCAAGGTGCATTTCTTTCATCAGAGCATGAAGAATAACCCTTAAAGATTAGTTAGTGAATTCCCAGTTTCAACACTACAATGATGTTATGGGCATGTTAACATCAGCAGGTGTAAATTTTTTTACCTGTACCGCTATGTGGTTTTGACATTTTATATTGTTTGATAGTTTCATTTGCATTGACACTGAAAATGTTCACCTGTATTTTCATTCATTGTTATTGATCAATATTAACAAGTTGAGACATTTTATCATATGTATTAATATTTAAATTTACCTCTTGTCTTTGACATACACACATTCCATGTTATGTTTAAGTACAAGTAAATACATTGTAATTGATACTTGTTTTATTGATCATTTATATGAAATATCCTTTTGTGCAGTATTAAGACAGTTGCATGATCCAGTGTGCTCAAGGTAGGTAAGCAGTCATATGTGGGTGTTGTTGGTTAGTACTAATTTATTCATATTTGCAACTGGTAAAAGAAAAAAAATCCAGATATACTCCATTACATCAAATATGCAAACTCTGACTTGCTGTAATTGCGAATTAATGTGAGCCTAAAAAGAAAAGATTCAATTTCAGTAGATATATCAAAAGATAACTTTGTTTTATATGGATCTTACAAAAACTACCACGTCAACTCTGTAAAGATTAGGACATTGCTATGAAAACTGTTATAAAGCAATGAAGCTAAAAAAATTAGGGATACAACTCCTGGCATCTGTGCATTCATTCCTCTTTGGGAATATTACTTTGTCACTGTCATATCTGAATGAGTTGGTGAAGATAAATTACTATAGTAGTCAATTTTTCATTATCACCATACTCTGTATTTACCAGATCCATGTTTGAATTTACTAATGTGGAAAACTATTATCATCAGATTATACAATGATTCAGATTTGAGGAATCCGAGACAAGCAAAATTGTTTTCTTCCTGCATTATGGGTATTATGACTTTTTTTAAAATCATGCATGAAAATAAAAACCTTTTTTGGTAAATCCTTATCATTCATCAAAAAATATCATTTGTATCAACATGTAAAGAACATTATATCAACGAAATGCTAAATAATATGCTTTTCCTGACTGATAGAGGAAGGATAACTAAATATTTATAAAATCAGATGAAAGTATAATAATAATAATAATAATAAAAAAAAGACTAAAGACCTGTCAAGGAGACAAACTAAAACATATATGCAAGAAAACAGAAAAGCCAAGTGTTCTCTTCAACTATTTTAAACTGAGTTTTTCCACTAAAATTCCACAACTGAATTACAGACTGAAAATATTTTTCAGAAACAATTCCTTAAAAAAATTGATATATTCTCAAAAATAACAAATTTATCCTGCATTCATGAGAGTACTAACAATTTCCCTTCCAAATAAATGATACTGTAACTGGAATGATAAAAAAAAATCTTGGCAAAGAAATCTGCATTTTTAAAAAAGCTAAACTGAACTTAATTTCATGTCTTAAACTTCTGTTTTTCAAGGTCTCCCCTGTTCTTTTCCAAATCATCACATATTTGTTACACAATCTTGGCTCGCTTTCCTTTCCGGTGGTGTTCTTGTGTCGGGGAACCCTGGGAGCTGCTGATTTCAAAGTCGTTCAAGCTCTGAGGAGAGAGAGCAATGGTGATGTAAGAGCCATTTCATGAATTCAAAACTAATGAAAACGTGCCTTAGTTATATGATGACCATGATACATATTTTGACTTTATTTATTATGGATAAATGTTTACATAGTTATCAATCATTCTGATAATGGAAAAAAAAATCTGAATAGCAGAGAGGAAAATAAACACAAAGGAAAATAACATATTCTAAATATAAGCTATCATCACTCACCACTGTAACAGCCATTTTGGCCTTGTTTCGTGACAGTCTGTTGCTGCGTGTCATCAGAGCCCTACGTGATGCAGGATTTTCAACATGTAACTCTACACTCCTACATGCCACTTCTTGTAAATTTTCATTATTCACCTGTGAAAAAGCTCAGGTTTTAACATTCATCATTACTATCAAGGAGAGTAATAATCTATTTACTGCTTCAAGAAAATATGTGGATTTGCTTACTGTAAATTTGCTTATATGGTTTTATCTAAACTAGTTCACTTGCATTATAAAGCAGGTTCATCATTTTTTAACAAAAATCTTATTTTGAAATTCCAAATATTCCTAAAATGTGTGAGAGACTGAAACCATAAATATTTTGATAGCAGGTTAAACACTATCATAAGATACTTTTAATGGCTAGACAACCAAAAGCCTATTTTTCTTCATAGTGAAGTCAGAAAATGTCTGCTGTTTTGATTTTAAGTCCTGAGCAAGAACACTGCCATACACAAAAATACCTGCATCTGTGGAGCTGACTTTTAATTACTATCTCACAATTAGTGAAGGAAAACAAAAAAAACATATTGTTGTAGAGCACTCTGCCCACCAAAGTATCCACAAATACATATTGGTCTTCCTTTTCCATTATTATTTTTGCAGTGCCATCTGATTATTTTGAAGTATACTGCAGGCTACAGTAACCATACCATACTATTCTGCCTGCACTATTTAGCCAGACTTGAATAACTCAACTAAGGGCTGTACTCAATTTTCATGTTTTTTTTCCCATTGTTTTCTTTGACAGCTTTCATGAGAGGTCAAACTATGGGAAATTCTATTTGGAAATTCATATTTTTATTGATAATACAGAAATATAGTCTGCATTTACTACATCTAAAAGTAAAGGGAAAAAGGAAATTGCACATAATACTCCTATATGTGTATTTTTCATCTTATTCTCATAACTTGTCTGGATATATAGCCATAGAAATAATCACCCCTGGTTCCACTGCCTATCAAATATGTCAATGACAGTCATTCGTTCTCAAGAGTAGCAGACAAATTTCAGTAACATTACAACCCTGCTGCCAATCATATGAATAAATATAGAAACATACCTGTGACTGGTTCTCTTGGAGGTCTGAGCCACCTGCTGACTTCTGAATGTCAGCTGACTCAAAAATAAGTGCAGCAGACTTTCCTGGATTCTCTGTAGTATGTTCTTGACTTGTGTTGGCAGGTTCTGTGACAAATGTGTTAGTCACTGATGTCTCATTGCAGCTGCTTTTGCTGACTTGTACTGTGTCTGCATCAGCTAGAGTAGTGCTGTCAACAGGATTAGAACAGATGTCGGTCATTTCTTCTACTTCTTCCCCTAATGTTGCAACAGTGTTCCCAGCAGTCGCAAAGGCCTGAGATGCACCGGCTGGGCTGTAAATGCTAAAGGATTCATCCAAACCAGTCCCAAGAGTAATCTTCTGTGTTCCAACTGGGACATCCTGAGTGCTATCTACCACTTCCCCTGGGTATGTGGAGAGAAGTCTTTCCCCTTCAGACTTTCTAATGAACTGGGTGGTCTTCTGACTGTCCGTGTCTGCTACAACTTGTGTGGCCTGAGAGTCAGGGGTAGGAGTATCCTGCAAGCTCTCCATTTCACTGTCTAAGACCTGCGTTGGCAGGTTGATGTCTGGTGTCATATCAGAATCCCAGCCTACCTCTTGGGACACTTGCTTTGGTGTCTGAAACACCTGCAAGTTTTAACATCTTATTTGATTCATCACTTCCCTTCTCTATTATATCTCCCTCTTCTCTATACTATGGATATTAAATATGAATTTTTCCATTAAGAATTTTACCATTATACATATTTACATCCTTTCTTTTTATATAGCTTACACACATTAGAGGAAAAAATTACCTGAGTATCTTCAAATTCTTCTCCTTCCATAAGCACTGGCTGACTTCCGAAGTATTCTAAATATGTAGACGCTATTTTGGTTTTGTTTACCACTCGATGCCTGGAGAATGCCAATAATTAAAAAATTAATAGAAGGGGAGGGATGGGTAAACTGGTAAAGAACATATTAAATTTGAGCATTTACAAAGAAGATATACAGAAGATGGCAGCTCTATAAATATAGAAGCAATAAATGTGCAATATTATTATGGATGCTATACTTAATGGTGTGTAATATTATTTTGTGTCATCTTATATTATCAAGACGAATTCTTTACATGCATAGAATTAACACAGGATGATCTTGTTTCATACTAACAGGAGACACCAGAAAATGAAAGAGAATACTGACCTTTTCCCTTTACCCTCAAAGACCATCATAGCTTCTAAGTGACTCATCAGTTTCCGGGCCTTTGAAATGTCCACTCCAAGGCGCTGGGCCAATTTGGCGACTGACACTCGGGCATGGTAGCCCCTTAGGAATTCCAAAGCACGGCGGATAAGGCATATCTGCTGGACCTTCTTCTGTATTTCAGAGGGTAAAGTTGACTAACATAATGAAAATGTTAATCATGTTATTGTCTGAACATCCAATATGTCAAGTTCTAGAAGTAAAATGAGTGAAACAAAGAATATTAACTAGTCTTGTGCATCATGAAATGTGAGAAAGTATGGGTTTGTCAGTCCTATCCTTTCTAAAATGAACATCCAGCTTACAATTAGCCAATCTAACGTTACCTTTCTCATGTCCCTGAAGGAGGAATCGGTACAAGGCAAGCCTGAGGTGACAGAGCACTGCAGGCACACATGCTGCTCAGGAATCTCTTCCTTCTTTGACAATTTGAAGCACAACTGCATTGGAAGATTATTTGGAAAAGAACTAAATGTAGTTATCACTCCTAGGTCAGTTATGGCAAAGAATAGGACAGTATGATCATATGTCAAAAAGACTGGAACAGAAATGAGGATGAAGAACTCACAGCATGCTGCCATGTTTTGCAGACATCACATAATATCATGAGGCCATCATCATGGTGTACCCCACATTCACACCTCACAGGCTCTTCATCTTTCATGGTTGATGTGCCACTAAGACCCTGGCCTGTGAGATAAGCAGGGTTAGTGAGGGAACAAGTTGAACAGAAAAGAATAAAAAATTACTGAATAAACAAAACAATTGAATATAATTTGATAATAAAATGGTAACAGATAAAAATATTGATAAATAAAATGAAGAAATAATGGGGTGCCAGTTAAAACTTCAGCTACATTATATATTCAGTGTGAAAGTACCAACAGTTGCACTGAATAATGTGCTCACATTATGTTGTCTGTGTTAGGTATACACTTTACAGACAGGAAATGTAGTCGGTGAAAAATTATTTTCACCAGCTACAATTTGCAATGATGAATGTACAAAAATGATGGCTAGACCTATTAAAAAAAATGCCAGTACCTTGCAGAAACAATGACCTGAAAACCAGCCCACTAGCAAGCACATACACAAACAGGCAGATTTGAGTGCATAAAGTGAGTTTTTTCAACTAGCCTGATGCAGTGGGGGTGACAGCAGATGAGTGGGAGAGCAAGCGGCGACTTCTTCGAACACTGGTACACCCCTCCTGTTCCTCCTTTGGTTCAACCTCTGGGACAATCTGCATTTCCTCACCACTCCCAATAGAAACAACCTGTGCCACTGTGCAGGTCTTGGACACGGGAGTGATACTTGGCACGCAGTCATCCTGTGGAGTGCTTTCAGACTGGAGCTGGGGATCAGCTCCTGTGGAATCTTGCTTGTCTTTCTCCAAACACATGCTTGATGTTTGTTCATCCTTGGGGGTCAGTGATTCCTGTGGCTTGTGACCTGCTGTGTTAAAGAATTCAGAGAAAATTGAAAAAATGAGAGTTCATTATATATATAATAATTTAATTCAACAGATTGCTTTTAAACTGATAATATCTTGAGTTGTCCCCCAATCCCTTGCTTGTTGCTGTCATGGAGGGCTTAGGAGATGGAGACTGAGTCCAAAGTAGGGGATCACCCCTACCTTGGGCCTCAGCCCACACCTCCAACTAATCTAGCATGGTCTTTTCTTCTCCCCCTTTCCTTTTCTGTCCCTTCTTTATTCCTTTCTTCTTTCCACTTCCTAGGGTAAGAGAGCCCCACTCTAGGTGAGGCCAGACAGGAAGCACAACAATGAAGTTTTTCTCTTTCTACCTATTCTAAACCTGTCCTTTGCTCTGCTCCCCTCCCATCTCAAAGGCTCTGAAACTCCCCCAATATCTCTTCTCTCAGCCTGAACCATCCTACCTCTACTCCCTCTCTCCCACAGTCAAATTTCTTTTCCTGTCTAAATCCAGATATTCCAATCTCTAACACTTTTTCAATACCTAGCCCTCCTCCTTCTCACTTTACAAGTTGCACCAGACACCCTAAGCATTCCACTCCATCTTCGCCTGCCACACCCTCTCCTACACCGCCCTTTTCCTCTGCTCCTCGAACATTTATCCCCTCTTCTTCTCCTCAAAGAGAACCTTCATTGTTCAGACCTAATATCCATCCTCCTTCTCTTCAAGTTCCCCCTTCCCCTCTTCCTCCCACTCTTTCCCAACACACCCAATCCTCTCCTTCTCCATCTGCACCATTCCTTATTCGTTCCCCATTATCCTTACCTGAATGCTCATCTGTATCCCATCTATTGCAACAGTGTCCTTCTCTGGATCCCTCCCCTCCTGACATTCTTCCTGATACTTCACCTCCTTCCCTAGTCCCCTTATCTCATTCCCCAGAGTGTTGTGCTGCTACTTCTCCAACAGCCATCTCTAGCCGTATTATCCATGATTGTTTCATAATAGTTCTTTTGCCTGTTTTCCTTAAACAATGTTCCTATTATTTCCCCAGCCACAGACACACTCCATTTCATCTAATTGCCCTATGCCCTTTACCCTCTCCTTTACTAATCTTTGAATTACTTCATTTGCACCTCCTCTTTACCCTTTCCCTATCATACTATTCTATAGTACTCTATAACCTTTGATATCTAAGCCATCTTATCCTAAGGGGCATTTTAACCCTTTTTACCACAATAATTTACCATAGTGTTATATGACCTTTGATATCTTGCACATTTATTTGTTTCAACCATTAACTATTAACCAATTCTTGAGTTGGAAACAAAACTCATGATGAAATTGATGATAAATCTGGTAAGTGGATATCATATACAACTTCAAAAAGCAAAGCTTCAGATAAAATGAAAATTACCTATTACCAAGAAATACCCATTCTTGCTGTAATGATATTCCAAGAGGATTACATAAACCTCGGATCACATTCATAATCAATCCATGTATTTGTTTCTTTTTCCTTGTAGCAATTAATTTAGGACCTTTTCTTTTGTGTACTGAGATGTGATCCTTTGCCAAATGAGTGAATGTGACTTCATGAATTATGAGCACAAATGAAAGCCTATGGTCATTCCCACAGATGTATTTTGATACTTCATCTAAAAATGTCATTCTGGGGCTAAATTTATTGCTCCTCATTGGGTGAATTTATTTTTCAGAATCCCTCAAGCCATTACAATAAAAAGTTGGCACCCAACACTTGATTATTTGTGATACTCTCTCAAATGGTGTTACATGAAATGTGTTTTATTGAGATATAATATTCTACAAAAAATACAGATTATTTTAGATAAAGAAATTAAGTGTAAAATACTACAGCATTTTTATATGTTGTATATTTACATATCATTTCTTTCAAACTGGAACAAGTCAAGATCTTGTTTGCATAAGCCATTGACCTGTGTAATTTATATGTCATCTAAAGGTTCTAAGCACTAATTTTAACAAAAAATAAAATCAGTAATTGAGTTACCATAATGCACTGCAAAACATTGGAGATAAATAACATTATATGAGAAATATCACACACTCACACATACACACACACCATCTACAAATATAAATAAACAACATATATGCACTGACATTGTGGACCAAGGGTGGCAAGGGGCTTTGTGGAGCGCTTATGGCAGCGGATGATAACAGGATCGCTAGAAGGCAGGGGATCCTCTGCATTCTCTAACACAGTTGATTCTGCCTGTTCATTCACTTCATGGGGATTCTCCTTGTTGTCATGTCCTGTCTGGTCTTGCAGTACCTGCAATAATATTGTGAAGGAAAAGTTATACTTGTCTCTTCTTAAAAGTTAGGTTTTATGATTGGTTTCCATAAAAATACAAAGGAGCAAACTTAGATTGAGATATACAGCAGATATCTTTATTAATAAGGAGTGAAGTCCAGAAATTAGAAGAGAGAACCAAGACTGAGAGAGGAAGGAAGGAGGGAAGGAAGGAAGGAAGGAAGGAAGGAAGAAAAGAGGAAATGAGAGAGGGAGACACTTTATAAAATGGGTTTCTATTTACTTACATTTTCCTCTTTGTCATCAGAATAAACAGCCTTGTTCACAGTTACTCGAAGCTTGACAGTATGGAAAGGTGTAGAGACATCACCAACCTGAAATGAATAGAAAGATGACCAAATATCTAGTTTTTGTTTATTTGAATAGATTCTGTGGTTTAGCATTTAGTAACACCATGCTTCCTATTGTTTAAAATAATATGAAGGAATGTATAGTATTAATAGTAATATGCACTGTAAATGATCTGTGTTTTAAGTGAACTACAGACCATATCTTCAGAACAGCTGCTTCTTTTAAACCTTTGACTGTATGCAATACATTTAGCTCCAGAACTTCCCTTAAGTGAATTGATTCCATAACAAGCTATTTCAAAAGTTTGTCTTTGAGTTTGATATATGTCTTTGAAATCAATCACCATAATCTAAGTAAGTAATCTTTACTTCAGCTGTGGAAAAATATGTGAATTTGGAATAATACAGCTTAGCTGATCCACAGAAAATTTGTTGATACATCTATTGAGAGGAAACTCCTTTTCAAAAGGTTAGAAAGATAATGCTTGAGATAACTCTAACACAAGCTCTTACCTTTATTGTTACTGGGTCACCAAAGCTGTGGCTGTCTGTGGATGCTGCAGCCTTAAATCCCACTGGTTCATACTCAGGAGGTGTAACTGAGGAAATACAGGGTGCCCATAGAAATAGGGGAATTTTATTGAGGGAAGCAAAATGTGCACAAAGTTAATAAAATGATACACACAAAGCTTGTCTCTCTGTAAGATAAAAGGAAGATTAGCAATGGGGGAACAACATTACAAATAAAATATACACAGCATTCAAAGTCTCTCTCTCTCTCTCTCTCTCTTATAATTTACCATTATCATAGTAATGTAGCTGCATGGTGACAAAGACTTTGCTGGGCAGTGGTTTGAGGGACTGGGTGAGCAGGAGGACTGTACGTAGCATCTTTTGGGTTGACCTCCTCACATCATGTTTCTTTTCAACCGAGTCTCTGCAAAAAGGTACATGAGAAATGGTAGAAATCTATACTTTGTCATCAATACAATACGCGGAAAGTTGAAATTTTGTTTTGGCCATTTTCTTACTAAGCTCTATCCAGGTCTTTAGCTAAGATGCCAAAGAGATTATCATTCCTTCTTTACCTGATTAGCTCTACTTATCTCAAAAATGCCCTCTTACCAAGATCTTGCTTCCACTGGCATTCCTCAATACATTTGCAATCGGCCAAATCATCTTCAATCTATTACTACAGCTTCCTGCATCTATCCTCTAGTCTTCAAACACATCTTTTATTTCCTAATTGCGATATGAAGTCCTATGTACACAATCAGTCACCCAGGTCAACAAAATATCTTTATATATATATATGTGTGTGTATTTATAAACATATAAATACATATATATGTGTGTATAAGAATTTAATAGGTTTCTGACTGCTCTTTTGCAATGATTTTATGGTTTCATTTAACCTTTATTAGTTAATTTTTTTTACAACTGAAATGCAACTCTGTACTCACATATTGGTAACGAGCTCACTGATGAAGGCTTCCTTATTGTCGCTGTACCAGATCTTATACGTGTAAGACTCAAGGGCTTTATTGTATTCCTTAGGATTGGTGTGTAGAGTTAGAGTCAACTGGCGCAGCTGTGAAAAAAGTGAAAAATATTTAAAGTTTTCATCCTACCTTTTAAATAAGAGAGAGAAGAGAGGAGAAGAGAGAGAGAGAGAGAGAGAGAGAGAGAGAGAGAGAGACGAGAGAGAGATGAGAGAGAGAGAGAGAGAGAGAGAGGAGAGAGAGAGAGAGAGAGATGAGGATTGCGAGGAGAGAGAGTAGGCAGGCCGAGAGCAGAGGAGCTGGAGGCGTTTAGAGACAGAGACGAGGAGATGGCGGGGGGACGCGGGGTGTGAGGCGGCGGTGGGGAAAACAGAGACATAGAGGAGGTGTAATGCGTGAAGGAGGAAGTGAAGTGCGAGACAGATGTAGGGAAGTCTGCGGATGGAAGAAGAGGGGGGAGGGAGGGAGTATATGAGGAGAGGACAGGTTGTGCAACGCTGATATGTAAGGAAGTATCAGGGCGGTTGTAGAGAGCAGAGTAGATGGAGAAGGAAGAGATAGACGATAAGTGTGCGTGTTCCTTATGAGAGACGTGTATTTACGAAAGAGGAGGAGAGTATAGAGAGAGAGAGAGCAGAGAGGAGAGCCGAGATGCAGAGAAGCACGGGAGTTATGTGAGATTGCCAGAGAGAGAGAGAGATGAGAGATATATGAGCAAGAGAAGAGAGAGAACTCACCGTATCTTGAGTTATGAGACAGTAGAGAATATTTTTGATGTAGTAGTTTAGTTATGACGAGAGATGAGAGTAGAGAGAGATGAGAGACGAGACGAGAAGAGAGAGATGAGACGAGGATGATTGATTGTAAGAGAGAGAGAGAAGAGAATGAGGTATGAAGAGAGAGTATTAGCAGCAGAGAGATAGAGCAGAGAGAGAGATGAGTATCGTAGAGTAGAGAGAGCAGAGAGAGTGAGATGAGAGGGGAGAAGTAATTTTTATGTAAGAGAGCAAGAGCATGAGAGAGAGAGTATGCCAGAGAGGAGAGATGAGAGAGAGAGAGCAGAGATGAAGATGTCTAGAGAGAGAGAGAGAGAGAATATGTAGTAGTAGTAGAGAGGAGGAGAATGTTTGGTAGTAACGTGTGTGTTGTTATTTTCTGGGTGTATGTTTATGAGAGCGGAAGGAGAGTAGGAGAGGAAATAGTAGAGGAGGAGAGAGAGACGAATAGGATGGAGTTAGAGAGAGAGAGAGAAGGGAGAGAAAGAAAAAGATGAAATGAGAGGGGAGAGTGTGAGATAGAAGAGGCTGAGAGGAGAAGAGATGAGAAGAGTAGGAGAGAGAGAGAGAGAGAAGAGGAGGAGAGAGAGAGAGAGAAGATGGGATGAATTGGAGAGAGAGAGAGAGTAGGTGTAAAGAGAGATGGGGAGAGGAGAGAGAGAGCTGAGGAGGTGAGGGAGAGAGAGAGAGGTGAGTGGAGAGAGAGCAGAGAGAGAGAGAGAGAGAAACATGGAGTGCGAGGGAGGGAAGTGAGAGAGAGAAATAAGCAGAAAGAAAGGGGAGAGGGAGAGGAAGAGGGCAGAGAGAGAGAGGATAGAGAGACGACAGAGAGGGGGAACTAGACTAACTAGATGAGAGAGATCAGAGATAGAATTCAGAAGAGATAGATTGATAGAATAGATGGATATATTATGAACGTATAAGTATAATATATGATAATTATAGGTATATATCTATATATATATCCTCATACTATAATACATAGGAGAGAAGCACAGAGATGAGCAGTTAGAGAGTAGAGAGAGACTCGAGACGAGAGATGATGCGAGAGGAAGCGAGGAGAGCAGAGAGATAGTAGAGAGAGAGAGAGAGGAAGAGAGAGAGAGAGAGAGAAGAGGAGAAGAACGTCAGAGAGAGAGAGAGAAGGTGCAGACGGAAGATTAGAGAGACGAGTACGGAAGAGAGGAGGCGATTGATTTTTTTCTCTTTCTTCTTCTTCCTGGTTCGGGGCCGCTTTCCTTTCCGCATCGGCCGTCTTGCCGCATGCTGAGAGAGTACGACGGATGAGACTGCGTATTGAAGGAGGAGATGACGAGAGAGAGGAGGGAGACGAGAGATGGAGAGAGGTGCACGAGAGGGAAGAAAGAGAGAGAGAGAGGAGAGGACGAGAGAAGTGGAGAGAGAGAGAGGAGGGCGAGAAAGAGTAGGTGATGATGAGAGACGAGAGCCCCGGCACCCGAGGGACGAGGGGAGGAGAGGCCCCGCGTACGCCCCGGAGACTCGAGACCGGAAGACACGGAGGGGAGGCACGAGAAGCGAGTGTGGGGGGGCCTTCGCTACGCGAACATTCGTGAGAGTGTAGTACGAGTGGGTGACATACAAACAATGAGAGGATGAGAATGAGAGGACTCGAGAGAATGAGATGAAGTAATGACGAGAGATAGAGAGACTGACGATGAGATACGAGTAGAATATGACTCTTTGTAGGAGTTAGAGTAGAAGAGCCGCGATGCAAGTCAGATGATGTAAGGACAGCACTACTGGCATTTGGCACTGCCCTGAGATCACGAATCGCAGAGCCTACAGAGAGAGAGATAGAGACGATGAGAAGAGATGACAGATGAATGAATGACGAGAGATGAGACAGATGAGAACCCAGGGGGGGGGGGGGCGAGAGAAGAATAGAGAAAAAGAAGATAAGAGATCAAGAGAATGAGAAAGAGAGAGAGTAGAGAGAGAGAAACGAGAGAGAAGATGAAGAGGATGAGATAGGATTGGAAGTAGGATGGAGATTGAGAGAGGTACGAGATATAATAGCACGAGATGGTAGTATCTAGCTGGGGATGAGCCGTAAGAGGGAGAGCACGAAGAAGGAGAGAGATGAGCAACGACGTGAGAGAGAGGAGGGCAGAGAGACAGACGACGAGGAGAGAAAGACGAGACGGAGAGTAGGATTTGACATAAGCAGAGGGGGGGGTCAGCGGACGGCGACGAGTAAAGAGAAACGAGAGACTAGAGGAGAAAGAGAGATGAAGAGTAGCAGTATGAGAGTCGTTTATTTAAGATTCTGATTCTCTCTATGCAACGATTGTACACTGTGTCACGCCGAGAGAGAGGAGTTATGTGTGTATGTATCAGAGAATGGTGTACTGAGATCTTTGAGATCTTTGACGACTGTAGAGACGTAAGAGAGTATGAGAGCACGATTGTATGCACGAGATCTTGAGACCGACGATGAGACGAACTGTTGCAACTTGTTCGCGACGAAGATTTGGACGACGAGATGAGGGCCGCCTGCGGCCCTCCGTGGGGGGATCACAGCCAGCTAGGACGCATCTCCGCCTCGCTATTCTCCGCATGTCCGATCTTTACGCATCCCTCGAGCCAGTCGGGACCGTCACCGCCCTAACGAGGGTAGTAGAGAGTAGCACCGCACTCAGAGAGAGACCTGAGAAAGAGTAGACGAGACGCAGCATGATCGCCCCTAGAAGATGAGAGAGAGAGAGAGAGAGGTCAGTCAAGAGAGAGAGCCTCTCCCTCTCACTCCCCTGCAGAGAAACACGTCCATCTCTCACCATGCGGCAGGTATGAGCAACCCAGAGAAGAAGAGAGAGAGGCTCTGAGAGAAAAAGAGAGAGAGATGAGCACACTGTCAGATGACCATCAAAGAATGAGAGAAGAAGAGAGGAGGGAGAGAGAAGAGAAAGGAGAGGAGGCAGAGAGACGAGCCAGGAGAGAACGGGCCCGGGGCACAGGCCTCCCAGGCTTTCTACCTTCCGGGAGTCTTTGAGGGCCCGCGCCGTCGCCATGACGCCTCTGTTGGTGGACTCTGTCCCGCCGGAGGCATTCCCCGGTCGGCGCCGCAGGCACATGAGGACGGGGCCCGTACAACCACCGGGCTCTTTCCGCATCGTTTCCGCCCCTCCGCCTCCTTCCTTCTCTTTTTTCTTTTACTCTCTCCTCCTTTCTCTTCTACTTTCCTTCTCCTCATCTCTCTTCCTGTTTTCTTCTCCTCTTCTCCGTCCTCTCTCCCCCACTTCCTCCCTCTCCTCCCTCTCTCCATCTCGAGCACGCAGAGAGCTCCAAGAGATCATGATGCAGAGCACCGACGGAAACGAGAGAGACTCTTTGAAGAGAAAGATTAAGAGTATGTCACTCTACGATGAAACCTGTTAGCAGAAGAGAGAGAAAAGAGAGAGAGACAGAGACAAGTGGAAGACGAGCCATGACGAGAAAAGAGAAGAGAGAGAGAAAAAGAGAAGATGCACTGAAGACCCATGCAGAGAGAGAGCCAGTCCATACGATCAGAGAGAGAGAGAGCCATCGAAGAGAGAAAGTCCTACGCTAGGAGCCCATTGAGACTGCACAAGAGAACGAACGACGACGAGAAGTGATGAGGAATTAGGAGGAGGGGATATGAGGAGAGAGAGAAGGAGAAACAAGAGAGAGAAGGGCGGAAGAGAATTAGAGAGAGAGGAGAGGAAGAGGTGAGAGAAAGAGTATGCAAGAGAAGATCAAGAGGAGTATGAGAAGTAAGGAGCAAGAGAGGTAGAAGGAGGGAAGGGAGAAGAGAGAGGAGGAGGAGAGAGATAGGAGGAGAGTGAGGCGGAGAGGAGGAGGAAGAGAGGAGGATGGAAGGGAAGAGAGAAGGGGGAGGAGAGGAGAAGAGAGGGGGGGGAAGGGAAGAGAAGAGAAAAGAAGAGAGAGAAAGAAGAGAGAAGAGAGAGAGAAAGAGGAGAGAGACGAGAAGGAGAGAGAGGAGAGGTAAGAGGAGGAGAGAAGAGGGAGAGGCTGAGAAGAAGGAAGAGAGAGGAGAGAGAAAGAAAGAGAGAGAGAAGAGCAGAAAGGAGAAGAAGGAGAGAGAGATGAGAGATGAGAGAGAGAGGAGAGAGAGAGAGAGGAGAGAGAGAGGGAGAGAAGGGAAGGGCCGGTGAGAGAGAGAGAGAAGGAGGAGGAGGAAGAAGAGGGGAGAGGAGAAAGAGAAGGATTGAGTGATGTGGGTAGAGGGAAGAGGGGATAGAGAGAGGTAGATAGAGATATGAGAAGAGGGGGGGATGGAGAGAGAGGAGAAGGATGTAGGAGGAGGAAGGGAGAGGGAGTAGGAGAGGAGGATGGGGGAGAGAAAAGAGGATGAGGGAGCAGGGGGGGAGGGGAGTACAGAAGGGGGAGGGGAGGGGGAGAGGAAGGGGAGGAAGGGGAAGGGGAGGGAAGGGAGAGGCAAGGGAGAGGGGAAGGAAGGGGCGGAAAGGGAGGCGGGGAAGGGGAGGGGAGGGGGGAGGGGAGCGAAGGAGGAGGGAGGGGAGGGGAAGAGGAAAGGAGGAGAAGGCAGAGGAAGGAGAGGGAGAGAGAGTGACGCCCAGAGAGGAGACGGTTAGGAAGTGAAGATGAGAGAAGGAATCGCCAAGAGAATTGAGGGGGACATTGAGGAGACAGAGGGGCCGAATGAACAGGGAAGAAGGCCGAGGCAGAGTGGGAGACGACCGAGGGGGGCGGGAAGTGGGAGGGAGAGGAGATTAGAGGTAGAGGAGAGAGACCGAAGAGAGTGGAGAGGATGGCAGGACGCAAGATGGAGGCAGCAGAGAGAGAGACGCGCAGAGAGGAGAGTAGATGAGATGAGAGCAGAGAACAGAGAAACGAGTATTTCTTCTTAAACCCTCCATTTGAACAAGTTTTTGGAAGAACACCGGAAAAATTACAAATCTACAAAAGGATGCTGGTTACACCCGGGTAGGTTATCCTAAACCACACTATCTTGTGAAAAGTCCCTGTGTGGACTCACAGTTTTCATACAAAAAAATATGTGTATTACCAGATAATAAACGTAAAATATAACAAAAAATACAAATATTCACAGTCAGTGGTCTATAAAAGGCGAACGATGTGCTAACAGTGAGGTACCGCAGGCGACCCGTGTAGCCGTTTATTTTCAAAGGGCAGGCAGTCGTCCCCGCGTTATTTAAACGTATAGCAGGACGAATACAGCGTAAACGAACTGTTCCCAGTCGTTCGCATTTAATGAAACCCGCTGTCTCTGAAACCTTGATAATAATATTATGAGGCTCCGCTATGTCTTTATCGTGTCCATATATTCCTCTAGCATGTCTTGACTGTTTGCCCACTCTTCTTGCACTAATTCCCATTTATTCAAGAGTTTTCTTTTTCTTGGTCGTTGCACTTCAACAGGAGGGACCTGAAAGTCGCAGAGGTTATATCACACTCTGCATTTCGCTCCTTTGCAGGAATACATTTTTGTTTAATTTTTGTGTCTCTGAGTGGAGTTTCTTTTATAGCCTCCTCTCCTTCTTTCTGTTCCTCGGTTTCTCCGCTCGTAAGTTGGGCCAGCTTCTTTTCTATTGCGTCCATTCTCTGCATCAGAGTCTATATCATCCGGGTAATTTCGGATATTTCCTTCCAAAAAAATCCGTATCGCTACTCCGCGGCACTTCCTTCACTTCCTCCACTGTCTGTCATCCCGTGATCACTATCCACCACCCGCGGTGGACCCTGCACCCATGCACTGGCTGTTGCCTCCCTTGGCACCGCCTTGACCAATTTTCAACTCCTTGTTGGGGGACCGCGGAAGAAATCTTGGTGCTCGGCAATTGTGGCGCCCTTCGCAGTTGCACAGCAAGGCTTAACCCTTCCCCTTCTCAATTTTCCCGGCAGATTCGTGAGTCATGTTTCCTACCGCAGAACCTGCATCGAGTATCATGTTGACAAACCCATGACTTGTGGCCCCATCGGCAGCACTTGAGGCACATGACTGGGGGCTCCACATACGGTGCCACCCTCCTGTACCCCGCTCCAGAGATAAATACCTTCTCTGGCACTTTCCCCTTCAGAAGGGCAACGAGCTGGCTCCGCTCCTCGCCCCTGGACGTGTGCCTCTTTGCCCACACAAATCTCTCGTCGTCCAGCAAAAAGCCTGGGTCCGATATGGTTGGATATAGGAAAAAATTATCATATTTGTAAACTTTTCTCCAACCTTTGGGACAGAGAGAGAAAGGTGAGAAAAGCGGAAGAAAAGAAAAAAGAAAAGAAGAAAAATGAAGAGAAAAGAGAGAAGACAGAAGACAGCGACGAGCGAAATAGAGTCAGAATGGCCACTCACATACTGCTTGTCCAGGGCTTGAAAGGCACTCTTGATCCAGGAGACGAGCGTGTTGGCACCTTGGCACTCTGAGTTGTCTTGCAGCATTTTCAGCTTCAGTCCATCGAGGTCGCGGTCACTGTAAGCTCCCTAAAAAGCATGAGATTATCGGTACACGAAAAAGAAATGAATTTGATAGGTAAAGGAATGAGTTTGAACTTTCACATTTGCGACAAGTCTAAGGGATTTTTTTTCTATTCTATGTCATTTCTGATTACCTTTCTTTCTTGTCAATTGTCTATTTTTTCTTTGTTCTTGTTGTCTACACATTTGTTTTACTTATTCTATTGAAACTGTGATTGTATTTCACCCACCCATGAATAACGGTCAGACATCGTACATCTTATCCCGAACTAACTTAACATAATGGACTTATCCGGTAAAATTCTCGAAAAGAAAAGAATCACAAAAAGAAAAGAAAAGATAGAGAAAAAAAAAACCTGAGCTGGGCTAAAATTTTAACGTTTCGAGACTGCCTCATACAGCACAGTCGAGCTTAAAATTAAATGCGGGACTCACCTACATGGATAACCTAACGACTCACCTCTGGAAAGAGAGTCCTCAAGTACGTGATGGAGGAGAGTCCAACAGCTAGCAGTTTTTTCACAAAGAGAGTCGACTGTGAGAGAGTATTCTGCTCGGTTGGGAAAAGCGTCGACCACTGCACGGGCAACATCGTCTTTTATTATTATTATTATTATTATTATTATTATTATTTATTATTATCATTATTATTATTATTATTATTATCATTATTCATATTATTATCATTATTCTTATTATTATCATCTACACTATCATTATTTTTCATTATTAGTAGTAGCTGCGGATATTGTGACGATGGCAACGTTAAAATGAAGTGGCGTTCCATTTCGAATTAAGAAAAGAACATGGAACTCCTGAATTTCAAATAACTTAACCGCAGAGATTTTTTTTTGTTGTAATTTCTGCAAATAAGTGTTTAAAAAAAGTTCAGCTAACTTTTAAAAGAGGAACCAATAGCTTTTTAATAGTTAATAATAGAGCGTTTAAAATGCAGGGGAATGATCGATTCTTGACACTTATCCTACCATTACATATGCAAATGTATTCATTATCCATTACACTTAAATGTTCATTTTATGCTCTCAATTCAAGATTCTCAATATATCAGATCCAACAAATTCTATCTAATAATAATGAAAAAAATGTACACACTCATTTCCCAACCTAGACGAAGGTTAAAAAAATATTTTGTAATGTTTATTGAGTGTGCTTTATACAAATACTTTTTTATTACATTATTTAATTTACATATTTCTTTTAGGCATGGCACACTTCCCTTCCCCTGGTTTACAAGTTTTTATATTGAGAAAAATAATTCTACATTTCCCAATGATTAAAGTGTTTACTATGAATAAAACTATAATTACTTACAGTTGAGGTCGGAGCTCTTGACAATTGCGTTGTCATCATCCTTGGTGAAGAAATTAAGATAATACTTACGGAAATCTGAAAGAGGAAACATTGAAATTAATATTAACATTTACATAGGCCTATACGTCTACACAATCCTACATTTTGACATTTTCACAAGACATCAGACTTTACTGGCAAGAATGAAATACAGATTAACTAACCTAAACAAAATAGAGATTATTTGAGAGCAATAATCACCAAATTAGCTAATTATCTGAAAGACGAAAGAGTAACACCTTTCACACGTGCTTCCCGAGAGTGACTGATCAAAGACGAGAAAAACAAATACAAAATAGCGAGGGAAAGTTGTCAGTTGAATGATCATACAAATTATGAATAAGATAAACAATAGAAGAGACTAAAAAGATCCGAATAAATGTGAGGATGTAAAATGAACCGATACGTTATTCTAAAGATATACATAACCCGGAAAGAGAATAAAGGGATTACGGTATATAAAAGAAAGTACGGATAACTTTTCAAATTTGGAATAATTTTGAAGATATGTGAGGTTTATTTGATTATATTACTCTTTTTATATTACATTTTAACAGAGGTGAAATGTTATATAAGTGAAATGAGCAATTAGACATTTGTAAAGATGATCTCTGAAGTTTATTTCTACTATTTTACATAATATTTGTTTTAAAGGTGAAACAGTGGCTAAACACTGCAATGCACACTAATAAATCATATAATATAAAAACGTAAGGAATCAAAGATGAATGTGCCGTGAAATTTGGCGAAACACGAGATAAAAAACACTAATTGTCTGGTACATTTCGCTAGACTTTTTACATCAATTCTCGAGTTACTTTTAATCTTCGGACAAAACCGTGTAGTCCAGAAATGTTTAACCTTTGACTGCACCAGAGAAATTATTGTTAAAAGTCTAAAATCTATATGACGACAAGCATGTTAAACGTAGATTAGCATGACATTTTTTCACGGATTTTCTGTCTACGAATGTTTTATAATTTGAAAGTTGTCAGACAGCAAAAAAGCACCCATAAGTATTTGAAAGTAGAATTCATACATTTTTCCTCTTTTCCTTGTCAAGATTTCAGTGACGATTTCGTATATGCTAAAGGTAACAGTCTCATATTTAAATTTACTCCTTGGGGAAAATGTCAGTTATTTTACGTTAAGGTACAATGCCAACTGACTTCGATCTTTTGATATCAGTGACTTCAGCCAAGGAGTGTCTGATCCATGGCTTTGAAATTTATAATTTGGAATCGGTGGATGACCTAAAATAGAGTGGAAGAGGCAAGAAAGGTTCTGATTTTGAAAGCGAAGAGGGTTTGGGGTGTGGCAATACTGCATCTTCTACGCCGGGAGTAACGATAAGACAAAAGAAAAAGAAAAAATCTTTCTCATACGTATTAACATTTTTTAAAATTCTATTATTTATTTATTTTCAAATATCTTTTACGAACACTGTCATTATTGGAAGGGAATCTGAGTGCATGAAGTAAATAAGTACATTAGTATTGTAGGTGATACATTCTCAAACGTATGAAAAACCGGCAACATTACATACAATTATATAGATAGCTATAGTGTCCAAACTCGCCTCATCTTCATATATTGATTGTTGTCTTTCCCACTGATTCAATAACCCAAGTGTAGACACCTTTTTACTAATCTCTAAAACACGAATGCTTCATAGGCCCTCTAATCATCGGTACGAACAATCTCTCATCTTAATTGCACCTCTATTTGCAGAAGAATAGAAGAGTACCAACATCCCATTTGGCTACAACTTCTAAATACACTGCTGTTGGCGAGGTACTGGTACCACCTGCAGGGGCGGAGCTAGAAAACTTTTTTTGGGGGGTGTCGGGAGCAAGGTTACCGAGTAACATTTTTAAAATTAAATCCACACTTCATACTTATTAATATCTTGTTTCGAAAAGGACCAAATTGAAATGAATATGAAAACTTCGAGAGTTACAAACCATGATCATTGATTTCTTAAATTATGCCGGCCACCAAGTTTGCCGAGTAAACTGTAATTTATTTATCCATTCTGCCAAGTGAAATGACATCGCGCCTGATCGCCTGGGCCAAAGTCTTTACAAAGTGGACTGAGGTGTTCGGACAGAAACACGATTCGTCTGTTTGAACAACTGCTCAGCGTCCTCCTGGCTTAAGTGAGGCTTGAAGATATTTAGAGCACACTTCCCGAGAGAGAGAGAGAGAGAGAGAGAGAGAGAGAGAGAGAGAGAGAGAGAGAGAGAGGAGAGAGAGAGAGGAGAGAGAGAGAGAGAGAGAGAGAGAGAGAGAGAGAGAGAGAGAGAGAGAGAGAGAGAGATAGAGAGGAAGAGAGAGACAGCAATAATCATAGTCTTGATCTAATACGCTTACTCCACATTTCCATAACGTGACTCCAGTTCCGAAGTTTGAAATCGGATATTATAAAAATAAACACCTGCCCCCTTATAGATAGTGTCAATTCATACTCGAAACAACCTTTGTCACGTCTTTCCGAGCGCAGCCGGGCATAGGTCATCTACATCATTCTATCAAAAGAAACAAGTCACTTCAAGTATCAAGTCAAATTAACCAAGTTATAACTTAGACATGAAGTTTCAGCGTCTTGACAGTATATGACTCTACCTCCTCTACCTAAACTTTGAAGGCTTGAGACTAATCCTTGATTTTCTTTGATTTTGTTTTTCATAATTGGCATGTTTTCTGTTGTTGTTTTTTGTTCTTTTTACGTATTTAATGTGATTTCAGCGATGATGTGTTCTAACTGTATTGTAAAGTTTATTGCTACATCCCTTTGTATATACGAAAACAAGGTCACGTATATTTTGCCTTTTTAACGAATTTTTATTATTTGTTTAAGAAAAAAAAAATCCCTCTTCAAATAGGTGGTAGCAACTCCTGCCTATACTCCGTCAAAACTAAGAAAAGGAAGGGCTGGCAACTCACCTAACTGAAAAAAGATCACCAAGTGGTATAAAGCAAATGACAGTGTGCATGACTTCAAAATGCCAAACAAATTCAGGCGGGAGTATGAAGTGTTACCTAATTAGAATAACAAAGTCTTGGCGAATCAAAGCATCCCAGGATGAGTTTCCAGTTTGTCGATTTCCTGAAGATGGATACATTTCAGGGGGGGGGATTGCTCCCCACACCCCCCCCCCCCTAATTGACGCCCCTATTATTTTTTTCTGTTATAATGAATTGCTCTTCCTCTTGTTCGAACATTTCAATCTTTGTGTTATTTTACGTTCAGTGATTTAGATTTTCCCTGGGGGACCTAATTTTTCATTCTTCAAGGCTGTTCACCCAGGCTCTGAAATATTTCGTCCTTGTCTAACGATCTTTAGAACATTTTCATCTTGTCAGACTGCCATAGGCTGCTGACAGGCCTTTGAAGATTGCCCCCAATATTTGCTTTGTTTCACAGCATGCTTCTGTAATGGATTTTCGGGCAAGAACTTGTTGTGGGGTGCCCCATTGTCGTCTGAATCCAGCTTGCTCGAAGGGACATGTGGTTACAGCAAGGGCAAGATTCGTTTGAGGATAATTCTGGAAGTTCGAGGCAGGGCCGGCGCTAGGAATTGCAGGGCCCAATTAGAAAACTGATGGTGGGGCCCCTATTCTACATAGTAGAATTTATGGGTGTTTTATATTTCATTAAAAAAAACTACAAACCAATAAAACGAATGAACATTAAATACTTGATATAAGAAATACATAATAAATCAATATCATGAGGAAGAATACCTTATTCTTCATTTCAGTAGTATTTTGTACCTCATATGATAAAAAGGGCCCTACTGGCGCGGAGCTCCTTCGTGTGCGGGGCCCAATTTGATTCATTATCATCATCATCCGGAGCTAACGCCAACGGGGGCGCATAGCCGCGTCCACCTTCTGTTTCCACCTTTTGGGATCCCTCATGGCAAGTCGCCAGGCAGGGGCCCGGCCCATCTCGAGCTCTTCCCGACAGGTTTAATCGATCTGCCCAAGCCACGACCTCCTAGGTCGTCCCACAGGCCTCCTCCACCCAGGGTTGTCTCTTACAGAGACAACCTGATGGGCAGGATCAGCCTGTGGAAAGCGAGCCAGGTGGCCGTATAGCCTGAGTTGGCGATCCAGGATTGTGCAGATAACAGGTCCCTGTGCCAGTCTTACGGTGCAGCCGTTGGTTAGACACATGTCCCGCCAACAGTACCCCATGATCTGGCGCAAGGACCTATTACAAAAGACGTCAAGACGAGACACCAGTGCACTGGATAATGTCCAGGTTTCACTACCGTAGAGCAAAACTGGCATTACCAGGGCCCTGAAAACCCGTAGCTTGGTCTTTCTGCACAGGTACTGGCATCTCCAAATACTCTTGTCGAGAGAGTTCATACCCTCGTCTGCTGTCTTCCTGGTCTGACAGCCCAGAATTATGAACTGCACTGCCAAGCAAAGCTCTCTGTGACTTCAATGTCCTCGCCGGAAGCACGTACCGACTGAACAGGTTCTCCTAGCAAGTCCCAAAAGTCCTGGATCTTAATCTTGGTCCAGGAGACCTCTAGACCCAAGGGCTTCGCTTCATTACTAAATGCATCGAGGGCCACCACTAAGGTTTCCAAAGACTCAGATAGAATAGCAACATCATCGGCAAAATCAAGGTCTGTAACCTTAATATTACCCAGTGTTGCTCCACAATGACTTCGAACAGTAGCTCTGCCTAGTACCCAGACCATGCAAGTGCTGAAAAGGGTTGGTGCAAGAACACAGCCTTGCCTCACTCCTGAACTGACAGGAAAGAAGCTCGACAGGCCCCCACCACACTTTACAGCACTTTCAGTACCAGTATATAGGTTTGCTATTAGTTCAATAATCCTTGTTGGAATTCCTCTCAGTCTCAGAATCTCCTAGAGCGATTCCCGATGTACTGTATCGAACGCCTTCTTGAGGTCGATGTAGGCTGCAAGCAACCCACGTCCGAACTCACGACGGCGCTCTACAGTGACTCGAAGCGCAAGGATACGGTCTACTGTTGACTTACCAGGAGTGAATCCGGATTGCTCTGGCCTCTGATGTCTTAGTAGATGGTCTCAGATACGCCTCAGAAGGATGCGGGCAAGAACCTTGCCTGGTACACTGAGCAGTGTGATGCCGTGTGATTGCTGCAGTCCCATCGGTCCCCTTCCCCTTCCCAATTTGATTAAACCGGTCAAATCGGCTTAAAACCGGTCCTGGTTCGAGGAAGTGCCAAACGGTTGAGACTGCCGTGTTTTACTGTTATAAGAGTTATAAAATGTAGATGTATGTATACAGTATGTCTGAAAAGGGTTTTTGCTCTTAATACCTAGCATGGTTATGGCCAGCCACTTTGTACTTTGTGGGTAAATTAATTCTTCAACTTAGCTCTCGGTCTGTTCCTGGGCACGAGTTGTAAAGCAGTCGTTAGTCATGTGCTTCCCTCTCGAGTACAAAATAAATTTGCCTGGGTACTACCTAGCGTAAAGTGCCTTATACCTCGTAAGGGTTCAGCAGGCATATTTGTTTCTTGGGAGTCTAAGAGCTGATCTGCTCCCAAAATTGGTCACTTTTGTGTTACCAACAAGGAGTCTATGCTTTCTAGTATTGCACAATTTGGCATTTTTTGTATGACATGAGTTTATTTTTCATGTATGTAAGATTATACCAGGTGTTTTGTCAGTGCAGTTTCCTCGATGTGCTTTTCCGAAATTCCATCTTGTCTCTGGAAGTATTTTCATAATAGGTATCCATTTTTCTATTGTATTGAGGTCTACTGTTGCTTTTTGGATAAAATTTTGTTGGAGCGTTATATTATTTACACATACATGTAACGCCACTACACCAGTATATGCCTTGAAATATATGTACACAAGGCCATTCTACTATTTTGGACGATACAGGGGTGTGAAGTCAGATTCTTGGCGTTAAGGGGGATAAATGATCTATGAATATTTATGTTGCTCTTTCATTGTTAACTGAGTTCCAGTGGGAAAGTTCTGGCGCTACAACTACGATAATATATCTTGGGTGCTAGGTGGTGTCATAATATCTTTGAAAGGAGTTTATTTATGATTTGTGATTCACACTTTTTTTTAAATCCTTTGTAGATGAATCGGGTGACTTTTTGTAGGCAAATTTGAGATGAATCAGTCTTCAGAATTGAGTATATGAATTATAAGGAAAAAATTAATGAAGAAAGTATTGTAGGCTGTAAATCTGATTTGACTAATTCCTTGTTTATGTTGAGGCAATGAACCTCTATAATCAAACCTGTAAGAGACTACGTATCGGTAGCCTAACCTAAAGATGTTATATTATACATTTAAAATCTTGTGTATCCCTTTCGTGTCGTTTCTGGCTTCGATATTTCGGGATAAATACTTATATGTTTCTCACTTTGTATAGGATCCGAAGGGATTTTACTATAAGTGCTTAAAACGAACGTAACTTGGAAAACAATGGAATAAGAAGACTATGTGCACAATTCGGTCAATTATAAACGGATTTAGATCGTAAATTATAGAAAACGAATTGCACCGCCCGCGGCAGAAATTATCATTTTTAGGGGTAACTAGTAAAAAATAAACTCAAACTCTTATTACATGTTACTATTTCTCCGTATGAAAATAAAATTTATCTATATATAAATATATCTAAGCTGCGCTTTAATCCTATCCTTGAGGTTTCAACTTTTTGTTCGTTGAGCTGGTATCACAGTGTTATCACGCTGATAAGCATCCTGCCGTCACTAACTTTTAATTTATGTTGATCGTACCTGGTAGACATACCTTTTACAAATTATTCGTTAACACAAGTACTAAGAAGCATTGTGTCCCGCGATGGCGGTTTTGGGAGCCATAGGATGTTGGCTACATGTGGTAGCCTTGTTCCATGGGCAGATTCACAGCCTGGAGGTGCTGAGGCGCCATTTGCTATACTTTATTAGTCATTTTGTGTTCTGATAATGGCCGCCGGTTCATGCTCCCTCGTCTTGTGAAGACCACGTACCAATTGTTACGTTTTATAATCAATCCACGATACGACCCTAGAGTTAGATCTGGCCAGGGTATCCATGATTTCTTGTACCACTCTATTTGCACATTGCAGCAGATTGGCTTTCCTTTTTTTTTTTCGTAGCACTGGTGCTCCGAGAGAAAGAATAGGCCTAGCGCAGTCAGTTCCACTTTCCATCTTCCAAAAATTCATCTTGTCGACACAGTGCAGGAGTGATTAAGATATTTTTGTTCCTTTGCGAGTTCTGATCGAGAGGCAGAAAAGGGGCTTGGATAAAGGTGCGCCCCGTTAGTGGAAACACGAATTCTTCTGAGTGTATGCTGTGTCTATGTACTAGTAAAAAGAAACAAGAAATCTTTCTCTTCAGCCATGATTCACAGTGGTGTGAGTAGCATATTTTAGTTATTTTATTTTATTGCTGTAAGTTGTTTAATATCTTGTATTTATCTTACAGACATCATATTTTTGTGTTTGGGTTATTTTTGTGAGATATTTTGAATCTATAGGATTTTATACAAAAATTATACGTACATATGTTTTGCAATTATATTTCTCCTTAAAGCATAAGTATAAGACGTTTATAAAAGACGTACTCTTATCGATCAAGAGGACTTCCTCTCTCTCTCTCTCTCTCTCTCTCTCTCTCTCTCTCTCTCTCTCTCTCTCTCTCTCTCTCTCTCTCTCTCTCTCTCTCTCTCTCTCTCTCTCTCTCTCTCCCTCCCTCCCTCCCTCCCTCTCCCTCTCCCTCTCTCTCTCCTCTCTCTCTCTCTCTCTCTCTTCTCTCTCTCTCTCTCTCTCTCTCTCTCTCTCTCTCTCTCTCTCTCTCTCTCTCTCTCTCTCTCTTACACACACGCACCCCCCACACACACACATTATTACACCTATTCCTATCTGTCAGTAGGAAACGTGGTGATTAAATTGCAGATATGATAATAAGGATAATGATGAAATAAGGATGATGGTAGTGTTAATGATAATGACGAGGAAGAAGATAATATTGACGATGATAATGATGATGATGGTGGTGGTGGTGGTGATTTTAATGATGATGGTGACTTTAACGATGATAACAATATTAATAATGATACAGTAATGATATAGTTATTATTATATTGTTAATATTAACAACAGCAACAATGACGATAATAGTAATGATGAAAATGATGATGATCATGTTGATAATAACAATAATAATAATGATAATGACAATTGTAAGAATAATAGTTGTAGTAATAATGATAATGATAACAGCGGTAATAATGATGCTGATAATGATTATAATGATAATGATATTGATAATAATAGTACTGATAAGAATGATAACTGTAATGATAATGATAATGAAAATAGTCATACCAACAATTGATAGTAATGATAGTAATTATAAAAAAAAATGATGATACTGATAATGATGATGATAATAATGGTAATAACCATTATAAATGTTGCTATCATTATCATTATCATAATTATTATCATTATCATTATTATCATTATCATTATCATCATTATTATCATTATTGTCATTATTATTACTGTCAATATCAGTGTTATTATTATTATTTTATTATTATTATTATTATTATTATTATTATTATTATTATTATTATTATTATTATTTTTATTACCATTATTATTGTTGTTGTTGTTGTTGTTATTATCATTATTATGATAATTATTATTATCATTGATAATTATATATATTGATATTATTGGTAGTATTAATAGCACTAATATCATTATCATTATTGTTATTATTATCATTGTTATTATGACCTTTATTATTATCATCACTATTATCGTCTTCATTGCTTTTTATCGTTTTTATCATTATCGCAATCTTTATCCTTATTTTTAGCAGCAGTAGTAGTGATACTACTATGAATTAAACACTGCAATACAAATCAACAGGCCATGCGCATCTCGGCCTTCACTTGTTTGTTGTTTACATGTTCAGCCGACGTTCAAGACGAATGCGCACGGGCTTAGCAGCTCTTCATTAAAAATTAATCTCTGGAAGACTGAAAGCAAAACATTGAGGTGATCTACAAGTGTTTTATTAGTTATATAAGAGTAGAGAGACGATATTACCGATACATTTATGGATGATTCCCATTGTAAAAGTGTAAAAGGAAATGAAATGTGAATGAAGACGTTTACAGGTAATGCAAGCATTGTGGTTTTGCCTTCATTAATGCTGTCGTGAGGAGTTTTTGCTAATTACGACATTGATTTGTATAGTCAACGTTTTTTTTACGATTTTAGAAATAATATTTGAAGTATATGAATTTTTCTCGTGCAAGAGATTCTGTGTTGATAATGAAAGTGATTCACATGCAACGTGGTCCTCGGTTTAAAAATGACTATATATATAAACCCGTTATCTATTTTGGGTTATGAATATGCTATACATAAAATTAGTGTCACATGATAGATATTCTTGATTAAATCAGATGTTTGATTACGAATCTGTATGAAAATCATGACATGTGATATGCACAGTACAGCAGGTGGTAGGTCTGCAGGAGGACTGATAACATGATTTTCATATACAGTGAAGTGTAATGTTGACAGATTTAGAAAAGGTATGAATGAGAATGAATATCACTGAATATCCTTAGAACACAAGAGATATATTTAACCAGTTTTGAATATATCTATATTAGAAATACATGTATTTCCGATGATGAAGATATATTTTGAAACTGGTTAAATACATCTCTTGTATTATGAAGATATTCACAAGGCAAGAGCTTGATGTGATATAAATGAATTGGGTGTTGATTTCTGCAGTAATCCTTTTTTTTTTTTTTTTTAGCAACCTCACCCTCCCTTCTCATCCAGGAACTACTGGTGGGATTCCGGATAAAGGCGCGATTCAATTCTAGCTGTGAGAGCAGCTATCTGAATTGTATCATGTCACCTTGGTGTGAAATCTGGGACAGAGGGGAGCCAGTGATAACATGACCGTGAACATGCTTTTTCTCGGTTGTCTCTGGGTTTTCCAGGATACAATTTCAAAGTAATTTCTGTAATTCACTTAAAGAAATTATCATTACATATAAAGTCAACAAAAGTTATATTAATATTTTATATAAAATAGTTAATGATCACAAAATTCAAAATATGCCATGAAACGAAACTATGGTGAAACAGGGAATAAGTCTTTGTGCTCCATGTTGTTCAAAGGAGAAATACTATGTGCAGTGTTATTCAAGCGAGAGGCATGTGAGATTTAATACGGAGGTGCTTTTTGCAGTGAAATACTACTTCTGGCTGGGTATTCAGACACAAGTCAGGTCCTAGACGAACACAGACAAGATGAACTGCACCTTAAGGGAGAAACAAAATGTATGATATAAGTTTGGTTTCTGCAGGAGTAAAATCAGATTGTAGATGTTACACCCATTGTGGCATGCCTAATGCACAGTTCTTACAGTTGCATCCTCTTCTCCCTGTGCTACAAACATCCTCCACCAATATTCAGAGGATTATAGATAAAAGCCTCTGGGCTTTCTGGAAGTGTCACTATGCTGTGCATTATTATCCTTCAAAATGGGCTGGATGTGACATTATGGCGTACATCTGTGTTCTAGTGATGGAACTGTAGCTGGATAACCTGTACTGTAAATAGATGGATGAGGATTGTGCCAATCTTTCTGTTAGCATGAAGGCTGTCATGAACTTGCTTGGGAAAGGATATGAGCTACACTGCCTGCTACTCCTATTCCATTACCATCAGTCCCGCTCCACCAGTCCAACAAAATACATGTCTAGGGATATGAATGTCATTTTGTTGCCATGGTATGGACTACCACACTCCCATTGGTGAGCAAGAAGCTCGTCACCATACTATCCACATCAGTGAGGTTGTCACCCTATTAGGCAGCTGATAAGAAGTTATTTGGGTTTAACTCAGTGTAGTGGTGAATTAGAACATGGATATGAATTAAGTAGATGTTAGTGACCTACTCAATGGATGTATATGGTCCACAAAGCTTTCAGGAGCATGATGACAGAGTTTGTGGTTCAGATGGTCCTATTCTGATTTCTCATACAGTAGTGGAGAGTTGAAGAAACTAAATTGGCTGCCACACTTTGCACTAGGAGCTGTCATTGGTGTGGGTCTGTGGGATGGTAGAGGAACACATCATGTGTCAGTGCTGTAGTATGCCTCTGTATCCTACGAAGTGCTTCAAATGCTTTCATAATCAGAGAAAGGAGTAGGAGAAATAGGAGAAGTACGAGATGAAGAAGGAGGAGTTATGATTGCTGCATTTTTTTCTCTCATTATTTTTTAAGAAAATAAAATCACAAAATATGCAAAGGTTTCTGAGTAACAATAGCAAATCATTTTTAGAACATGTAATGTGACTACAGATGCATCTTGATGTAAAATTTACAACATTTATGCATCATATCACAAAAGCTATA